ATTTCTCAAGTACCCTTTAAGTTTCCTGGGCTGCTATTTAAGAAAGTGGTAGAAGTAAATGGCGAACGGAGAGCTTTTACGAGGTGTTTTCAATGACAAATGATTTAATTATCAACCGTGGTTTTATTTCTGAGCATAAGTCTTAAAGTCTTCATGGATGGTCTCATTTGCTCTCTTGTTTTAGTCCCGAAATAGCGGGTGAATTGACGTCATAACATCCTCATATTCACCTCAAAATTACTATCATAATCTCACTAAAAGCAATTAGGGTGCCTTTACCTGCCATTCCGGCTGAGCATAAATAAAGAAATTAGCAAATTCGCCTTGCTTTCATGGTCATATTCGATGAACAATCCATTAAATAATCATCACCCACATTTTAATTAATAGAAAGATGTTTTCTCAGCAACTTTCCCAGCAAGTTTTATCAGATAATTTCCCGCAATTCCCTCTTTATCGCCTCCCAGAGAGAGGGAGAGAGAGAGAGATGTTCCAAGTCATGAATGTTAATTAATTTCACTTTTACTGCAAATGCCATAAATCGAAAGCCACACCTTTATACCGTGCGAGAGCTTAATATAAAGCTCTCCTTCCATCGCAAAAGGGGATGGCATAAAAGTTGGAAAATTTACTTGTTGTGCCGTAGAGATTATCAGTGAATCTGAGGTGATTGCGATGGGAAAGTTTATACCACGATTGAGAAATTTTCCCGGTATCTTCTTTTCCATGCATTCACACAGCCCAAACTCTCGATGTGCGCTTAAAGAAGGCAAGAGGCTGGAAAAAGTCTGAGGCACTCGTTAAAATAGCGATCCGTCCATCATGTTCAACACACCAATAAGTCTTGTGTATAAAGTTAGAAAATCAGTGGGGTAATTGAAAAAGTTTCCCCCCAAGTGAGAATATTGAATTCGACGCATTTGAAACTGCGAAAACTTTCACTATGAGATTTAAATTAACAGAATTCTTTTTTGCACCGCACAATTTCTTGAGACTTTTCTTTCACAACTTCTCTACGATTTGCTTGACGGAAATTTTTCCTCTGAATATGAGAAAAGAAGAAATGGTAGTCAAGAAGAGTACACACAAAATTGCATTAACACCTCCCGTGAGAGTCACTCTCGCCCACATTTTCATTTGCCAAATGGAAAATATAAACTTTCCGCCTTGAGATGGTAAAGAAAGCTGAGATCAGACAATCGCAAAAAGTTGAGAGCTATTAAATGAGCAATTTCACAGTGTGACAGTTGCTCTTATATATAAAATTGTAATTAGTACTTCTGGCAAGAAATTACAGGCAGTGGCTGTGGAAAAGTGTTTTTAATTTCATTTCTGCACTCTCATCAACTTTATTATTAAATTTCCACCACACGAATTAACTTTCTGCGGGTTTTTTTCTGAAACGATTCCACTACAGTTATAGGTTTCATTCAAGTGACGATTAATCAGACCAGAGTTCTAGATGTTGCATTAAAAGCTGACCACATCTCAGCTTTAGCCACAAATTCTCTGTCTTTACGCTTTAAATCTTGCTTTAAATAGTATCTCAAATACTTGTGATTATCAGGTGAATAATATAAGACTTTCAATATGTGTAATGCAGTGTCATTTACTTAGCATTACTCATTTAAAGACCATCTCTATGTGATTTTCCGACAATCTCACTTAGATCCACAAAGAGGGAACAAAGGCTCGATTGCAAATTAAGCAGATGCTGCTTCCTGGTGCATTGGCCCACATGCGACTCCCAGGGAGAGTTTCTATGGAGGTAATTTGTGCCATGGAGATCTTCTCAGGCGATGAGATTATTTGGCAAATTCCAGACCGGTGAGGCACTGTGGGCAATTGTTGGTGAAACTATGCCAAAGATTTGCCATAAAATCGACTCGGCTTTTCATCTGCAACGCCAAAGAGCTCGGAAAGTCTTCACAAACTCCACTCGAGTGTAGATTTATGGGGGTTGCACTGGATCCTACCCTCATCCTTGGCGTGCACTCGGTGGGGCGCACAAAGGACTGCAGCCCCTCTTTTTGGGTTTTAGTGAAATGCATTTCTTGTCTCTGACATTCAACACTCGAGTACTGTGTATATTTCGGTTGTACTACAACAATATGAGTTTATCTTATTCGCCCCACCTCCTCGGCCATGTTCCCCATCCCTTATTTAGTTCGGGAGATGCCGTCTGTGGGGCTGTAATTCAACACACAACACAACACAAAACAAGCGCGCTAAACAAAGTGCAAACATTTGGAAGTTGCTCCTCGAACAGGGATGAATTCTTCGAGTTTCTCCCCACGCTCGCCGTGGTTGCGAAGGTGTATGACAGGTACAAATAACGAAATAATGATTCACAGTACCGTGTCTCGGTGTCTTTTGCCAACTCTCCCCATCGAAATAGTGGGGGGCGAACAAACAGACCCACATATGGACGAAACTCCTCGGTGGAAAACTCAATGCGATATTTACGACAATGAAATTCACTCTGGCTGGCGAGACAATAAAATATAAATATGGGAACATGGTACAAGCATTTACCATCCACTTACTTCTTCCCATTTAGAGACGTTTCCCACACCCTGGGTCATTTGATAAATCCGCCGCAATTGAGAATCCAGACCAGACAAAATGATGTTTTATTTTGCAGAATAATTATTTCCCTCTATTCGTTCGTCGTTTCGGAATCAATCAAAGCGACGAGAGAATGCAAATATCGCAATGAACCCTCATTAATATTAATAATTCACGGTCTCAAGAGGAATATATTCCTCAAATTGCTGACTGAAAATAAAAGATTTGTCTGAAAATACGGTCTCATCGCAAATGCTTCAGATCATTCACGAGTAAAAGAAGCTGAATTGGAAATCAATACAATTTCATCTCGATATTTGACATACAATTGCATTTCAAGCCTTTCTGCTTTGCAACAAACGTGGATTAAAATAATTCTGTGCTGAGATTGAGATTTTCCGCCACACTGAAATCACATCCGACAAAAGATAAGAGAGCGAAATAAGCAGTGAAACCTCAACTGCTTTGAGAAAGTAACTCCTTTCGTGCTTTATCAAAGGCACTCACATTAAATTTAATACGTGAAAGTTCATTTCTTTCTCTTGGTAAACGAGATTGCTGGCGATATCGTAAAAAAGAGCACACAAAACGAATAAGGAAAGCTGTGGGGCGTCATATTTCCGGTGTTTTGGCCCTTTCATTCCATTAGGCACAACTTTATGTGACAGTGAGAGAAAAGTTTCTCCGCAGACGGGAGTGACTTTACAGTCAATGGATAATAGTTGGGAGTTGCATGCGGGGGTGTGGGCTGATTTAGCTATACTTTTCGGGCAATCAATATCATAAATCAGCTGAGCCTCGGGGGCACACCTTTCTTTGTGTTGCGGCTGCGTTTGGGTGGATCCCCAAATGCTAAGGCAAATGCTAAAAAGTGGGTTGGAACACGCCAAAATGTATCGTGTTTCTCATGGTGGGCAAACTTTGGATTTACAGTGGTGTGACTTCAATAAATTCGACCAACTCGCAACTGGCGTGGAAGCTCTCCTCTTGGCCAACTTTTGGGGGAGCTTCGAGTGTATCGGGGCAACAATGGTGTGGGTGGGCTTTTGGATGCAAATCTCCGAAATGTGCATGAATGCGGAGGGTTGTTTGCGCCCAAACAAACTCCATTACAGCCCCCGAGAGGGTTTTATTTATTAAACATGGAATTATTTGAAACTGGCAAATGCCACTTTTACGGCTACAGGGCGCTCCATGGGTCGATGCCATCAGCAGAGTTACACTCATGAAGAGCGATTTACGATATGTTGGACAACGATTTGGGCAACTTTCGTCCGCCCCTCTTCAAACACCCATTCGCATTTCTTCGTCCCATGGCAGCCAACGGGGGGAAACGTGCTGGGGTAGCGCCCATGGAAGGGTCGATAGGAAGTGGAGCAATGAGAAAACAATCCCCCAGTGAGGACCCTATATTTAAATTTCTAATATATCAAATTGAAACGGAAATGATCGAAAATACACTCCTCTTTGGCCTCTTGTTACTTTATTTGTTTTTCCACCTCAATCCCAACCCTTGGGGCAAATCAATTGATTGGTGAGGGGAAAATTGTTCCTATTTTCGCTGTCTGTTCGATTCTACAAATTTTTTTTTGCATGAGAGATAATAAAACTCAGTTCAATGCTGGCTCAATGATAAAAAAATCAAAAGTCAATTCACGAATGAATTGAGTCACATTCAATTTATTGATTAATCTGAGGGAGACATTTCTGTCTAGATTTCTTTCTCTAAATTGCCTTGGGAATAGTTGTGGTGTTTTAGCTCGCCTCACATCAGACTGGCGCCTTTTCTATGCTTTGTATAGCAGATCAATTGGATATGATGTGCAATTCGTGAACAATAGAGAGAGAATGTTTTTCGTCGCTTCCAAGGAAAAGTATTATGCCATAACTGCCAATTGTCCGGCGTGACTTATGTGCCAGTGCCCAATGTTTGAGTTTTATATAAAGAAATTTATGTCCAATGTTTGTCTTATATTAGTAGTTGCAAATATGTTAGATTTCGCACAATTTGATGTATAATTCAATATAATGTTTTCTTTTAATTATCTTACTTCGCATCTAGGCTCCTCCGACGAATAAAGTAGATGATAAAGGGCTCGAGTTTTCTAGTTTTTCTCCATTGACTTTTACCTTGATGAATTCTTGCTAATTTCTTTATTACCTTCGTCTCATTGTGATTCAGTGGAGTGTGAAATTCATTAAAAGCTGTATTCAAGCTTTCGCGCCCTAAATTGAAATGTTTTTTTGCCGAAAAAATGAGAAATAAAGCTTTAGGAAAAAAATACGCGACAGGAATACGGAATAAAAGTGAGGTTTTTGCGTTTGCAGCGCGGCATGTACATAAAAAGTGGAAACCACAGGGCTTAATCAAATGCAATTGTGTGTGGAAAAGAAGGTTGGACTAATTGATTTGGTGTTTTTCGCCCGCACAGGTCTACATTGTGGGTCATATGCCACCGGGGTCGGACGAGAGACAAGTGGGAAATGGCCCGAATGGACATTCGACCTTCACTGAGAAGAACAACAGCAAGTACCTTCGATTAGTGAGGAAGTATTCGTCGATAATTCAGGGGCAGTTCTTCGGGCACCTCCACTCGGACTCCTTCCGGATCGTGTACAGTGACATGGGTGAGTGTGTTGTTCTTGGCCTCTCATGGGGATTTGCCGCCCTCCTGTGGGCAAATGTCGCCCTGTTGTGGAATGCATGGGTGGGCGCAACCCCCAGTGAAGAAAGTGATTTCAATGGGGTGTCTGCTCCGACAGGGAAAGGCATCATCACAGTGTCGGGTTTCAGGAGAGCGGGCGGCACTGCAGAAGGGGATAAAGTGGAAGAGAAACATTGGTGGAAATTGAAATACCAAGATGCGGGGAAGGGCAGGGAAATCTCCGAGAAAATTGTCTCTACCTCCATTTGAAGCTCTTGGATTTGAATAGGACAATCCCACTTCTGATACCTCAAGACTCTCACGCTCTCACGGTGGATACAGATGGAAGGGTGGGTGCAGAAAAAAAGACACCAGAGAGACAAGAAAAATAATACAAGGGTATGGCTTGTTCACCCATTTTTCTCCATTTCATTTTATGGCCTGCTCCCCACACCATCCGTGTCGTCCTTCTTTAAGCCCAAAAATCACAAAACACACTGTATCAACATAAATTTTCAGCAGCTAACCAGTTGACATTAAACATAAATGTCATGTTGGATTCAGGACCTCGTGCCACATTTCCCGAGATGCCCTTTTCCATGTGCCACCCCACTTTCATCCGTGTCATTTTCCTGGCCCATGTCATGCAAGGGCTCTCGAGCCAATTCCCTCAGCATCAATGATCCTTGATGCCTTTCGCCAAGAATTTGTGGTTGGAATTTATTGATAAACCCAATTCTTGAAACACGCCAAAAAGTTTCCGTTTCATACAGTTAATCATATACCTTTTCAAACAGCTACAAAAGTGCCTCGCAAGTGGCGTACTTCAGCTTAAATTGCGCTTTAATTTTATTGTGACCTGAATGCTTGCACAGAAATAAATTTTGATACTAAAACCTTCACATAAACCATAAAGATCAAAACAGTCATTATCCTAAGGCTTGGCGTCTTTATTCTTATCCGCGGGTCAGTCTTTATGGCGCGAATTGCGATATGCTAAAAGACTTTTAATACGAAAGTCATTCTGTGGATTAATGGCCAGGGAGCTTAATTTAAAGCCCAATCTCCGGGTCAGTGACTTTGCTTCAAAGAGAAATTTGAATTCTCCTCCATGGGCTGTTTTAAGACGCAACTCACGGCCTCTTCCATGGAAATTTATTGAGAGTTAATTGTGGCGGGGCGTGAAGAAAAATTTCTAGCAGTCAATGGCACTTTCCTCTTCCGCTGACTTCCCCTTTCTCGCCTGGGTAGGAAAAACCGAGAAAGTGGGTGGAATTTTAACGAGTTGCGATTGTCTTAACTCTTGTTCTCGCGCAACCGTCAAAGACATGAAATGTGCCATGGGCATTACCAGTGATGATGTGGTGGAGAGACAATGAAAGTGTGCCAAACTTGACAATCTGCACTCTTTCTCAGCGTGAAAACTCCCTTTTTCCTCCTGCGGCGGAGAAAAACAACAACACACACCGAGAAACTTGGGTGGAAATTCCGCGCACCCCTTTCCGGAAAATCAATATCATCTTAACTCCTTCTCAGCTATGAAAAAGTCCGTGTGTGCAGGTGAGGAGCGGAGGTCTTTAGTGTCCCACTTTCATTAAAGTACGTTTACTCATTTCCTCTCCCGCTGTTCTCACGTGAGAGACCGGGTATGTGCAGAATGCCCCGGATTGAGTTTCCTCACCCACCATCCCCATTATCGCTCCTGGTGCTGTACGGTTGAATGAAGTGGCAGCACCTTTGAGACTTCATACCTTTCGTGAAAACCAACTCTTCTGGGGGAGTTCAATGAAATTGTTGAGAAACTTTAAAAAGTTATTGCGTACATTTCATGCTTCTGTGAACTCTTCCGGAGGAGTTCAATAAATTTTCTAAAACGCTCCTCTCGCAGTAATTATGTAGGTAGTTACTGGGATTACATATACACATAGGCAATGTATATGAGTGTATTGTAATTGAATTTTAAACCTTTTCTGGCTGTGATTCACTTAATAAAGTCTATGTGTGGTCAGGATTTTAATTTCAGAAAACTTTCCGGTAGTTTTCCGTATTTTCCCAGCAGTAAAACCTCTCTTTTGTCGGTGTTACTGCCTCCCCTTGTAACATGGCAATTGAGAATCTTGAGGATATTGTGGGAAAAGGTGGGAAAATTGAGGTGGGGCATTGAACCTGAAACTAGTCTAGTGAAAAATTCAACAATAGTATGGGATTTTCTCATTTCTCGCCACCCCCTCTCGCCCACCCTTCAATCCAAGATTGTAGTGTTTTGTGTACATTTTGCCCAGGCAAGGAGGAAATTCCTATTGTAATTGAAACACTGACTTGCCCATTCTTCTGCAAGTTTGCCGAGCAGGTAATTTATCGGGCGAGAGACTATTGAGAAATTAATGGTTCAATACCCTCGAGGACAGACGAAAATTTATGTTGATGAAAATTTATGTCCATTAGAGAATCGTCTCTAAAATGAAAATTCTCCCTATCTAATCAATTTCCTCTGTATGGTCGCTCTTTTTTCCTTGTCGTTGCAGGAAAGCCTGTTTCATGGATAATGATTGCGCCGTCTGTGACGCCCAGGAAAATGAATGTTGGTGCCAATAATCCGGGGATGAGACTCTACAAATTCGAAACTGATACAGGGCAGGTGAGATATTTGCGCCGTGATCGCTACTGTTTGTTTTTCAAATGGAGGAGTACCATTGTTGCGCACATGCACACCCAAACCCCAAAATCACTTTACAACTCCCGCCCAATTTAGTGTTTTGGGAACAAATGCAATATCTCTCTGTAAAATTTACGTGACAACACGTCCAGAATATACAGTACATTTTTGCCCAGCACACCTTTTTCCCTGTGACTTGGGGCCAAAAGTGTTCGATTTTTCATTCACATGCAGTTCTATAAACAGCTCCGTGTGCAAACACGAAACATTTCCACAATCAATCGCCGCGGTGCTTGCAGAGTTTTGGGGTGAAATACCTGACTATGTATACGTATGTATATTATATTTACATAGCAGGCGTCCTAATGAGAAATCAATACCGAAGGTTAGGAGGGTGGGAAATTCTTAAGAACTGCCCTTGAGAACCCCTCCATGCGGCTATTTAACCTACATTCTCCGGCATGGATTTTTTTTCCTTAAGAACACTAATCTCTTGCCTGGAAATCTACATTTAATTACCGCGAAAATGTGCGATGGAAGGAGCACACTAAGTGCGGAATGATTTCCTTTCCGGAACAGTCCTTCTTGGAAAGCCTCAGACCCTCAACTTTTCACCGAAATTATAAGTGAGCCTCTCACTGATCAAACAATATGTCATTAAGCAATATTCCGCCTGTTTGTGATGATTGCGACAGAATTGGGATATTTTTAGCATCATTATACAAATACAAGGCGCCCCTTGAGGGACTTTCGCAGCGCAAAATGTAGGACAAGTGTCATTTGAGACGAGGATATCCGATATTGAATATACATATTTGCATATTATTGAGATGTAATTTGATCTCGTTATTGCCTGTTAGGACGTCAATATCGAGTTTAAGGTTGAATTTCATGGTGCTCCATTTGCGGCATGTCTGACAATATGGCATGAATAATTCTTCAATCCTCTTCCCTCTTGCGCGAAGGTGCTGGACTATACGCAGTACTATCTAGATCTGGAACAGGCCAATGCTGCAAACGAGGCTTCCTGGCAAGCTGAGTACAATTTGACCACACAGTACTACGGTCTGGCCGAGGTGACATCCCTGGCTCTGCACAATTTGGCCGACCGCTTCTCAAATAACGAAGATCCCCTACTTGCCAAGTAAGTATCATCAGCAGCAATTTAATAGAGAATGCAAGATAAAGAGCTGAGACAGAAACTAATTCATGCTCACTGAAATCTTATATGAAATAATGACCTGATATAGTTAAACCTGCTTAACCCTTTTATTAGTTCCTTAATCAATATTTGGCAAACTGTTGGGTAAATTCCTTTATTGCAGTTTAAGTTTGCACAACGAACTCGCTTCATCGAACTGTTTATGTGTTTCACTCTTATTGGAAGTCAGTTAAAAGAACCCCATTAAACAAGCTCCACAGATTTCCACTCTCACTCCATGAAGGTATTCCACACCATTCGCCTCTTTTATTGTTGATTTTTCACATCCACCCCGAGATTTTGGGTGGCGATAAATTCGGCAATTGCTAAACCCGAAGAGATGCAATAAAGCCCCTACTCTGAGATTCTTTATTTACCCCCAGAATCCCATCACTAAATGTCTCTTTCACCCCAATTTATAGATACTACCGTGCAAATTCCGTTCGCTACGTGTCGAATCAGTGCGACGGAGCCTGTGCATTGAATCACTACTGTGCCATAACGCGTCTGGATTATTCGGAATTCCGCGAGGTAAGTTTTCTGTTCACATCTCAGGGTATTCCCGAGACGACAATGAGTCTACGGGAACGATGTATTTGCACAGGGACAGTAAATAACAATTTCAGCGGGAATATATTAGGCCACTGACGCTGGCGAAGATGGCACAGTGCCATTGTAGGACTGCCATACTTTGCCAATTTGCATACGGAGTCATGTGTTTTATCTGCACTGAGAGACTGATTTGCTCTATGATTTTCCGCCTGCAGTGCTTGGATACTCCGGCCAGTGCCCTCAGCCGAGCCCAGACGGCTCAGCGATCGCTCTTGGTGCTCCTGCTGTCACTTCTGCTGGCGCTCCGGCAGCGGCGCCCCCTGCAAGGGCTCCTCACCGCCCTGCAGCCCCACAGTGCCACCCACCGCGAGCCCACGCGACCCACCAAGTGCTTAGGGGTAGTTTTGTACATAATGTGGTGGGTGGCGAGGCGGATGTGGGGGTGCCAACGAGACGAGGTCTCTACTTTAGGTAGTGTTTGTGAGGATGTCTCCCGTGTTTGTGATAATTCCTCGACTGTGGCCATGCCATTGTCCTCCCCGCCCTCATCCAGCCTCCCTCCACGCTCCACCTGTACCAACTGCACTTAGGTAAGTTCCATGGACATAACCACAGACTCAGCATAGTCATTATTTGTCCTGTTCATTTCAACAAAACGGAAGGCCTCAAGGGGTGTGCCACTGGGGTGTTTAAGGCTTCTTGTGCTCTAATTTCCAAAATTCCATCGGATGAAAATCAGCTCTTCTAGCTTCTGGACAAGAGTGCTCCTCAGAGTGGCACACCTTTTGACCGAACCTCTAAACAGAGCGCAAACCGAAGATCCTCGACTTCAGAGCAGAGAGAACTTTACAAAAAAAAAACAAAATATTCTTCTGTGTGTCACTTGAATGAGTGCTTCTTTCGTAAATTGTATTATTATATAAATGTCTAAGAGAAAAAAGAGAAAAAATTATGTGCTGTGCTACTTAAAAAAAGAGAGAAGGAGAAAAAATAAACTGAGCATTGGATGACGCATTTTGATAAAGGTGTGTTGTGTGAAGATGAAGATTGGAGCCACTTTTCTCAGCCTCGCTCCCTCTACAGAAGGAACAACTTTTTCCTCCTTCAGCGTTGAGGGTAAAGGTGGTCTCCCTAAGTATAACTCAATGTGTTTTGTCTTTTTCCACCCACACCCAATTTCATTCCGCGCCCCAAATGTGGGTGAGGAATTTCCAGGAAAATATGTGCTCAACATTTTCTCATCGGTTCCCCATTTCTTGCGTTCTTTAATGTGTACATAAATGTTGATAAGAATAATTTTTATATTTGCATATACAATGTAAGTGGATAAAAGAGATTTACATTTATAGGTGAAAAAAATTGAGGGACTACTTGTGAGTAATTGCAAGACAAATTGATAAAATAATTTTTTCGGTTATACATTAACTTTATTGACTCTTTATTAGAACAATGGTGTCACCAAAATATGTATTGAAAATACATAAACTGAGGAATTGTTTTTTTTGTTTTTATCGATGATGAAATAATGTTATAAAATTATGGGAATAACAAGTAGCATAAAAGTCTAAGATCATAAAAATTCACAGTATAAAATGAAGAATCTTAACTGTCGTTATATGTATATAAATATTTATTGAGTATATATTCTAAAAGAGAGGAAAAAACGTGAAATAAAAAAAAATCTGATGGAATTTCTTATCGAAATAAAGAGACAGAGGGAAAAACAACATGACGGCCTCTGTTTACTTGGCGATTCTGCTGGTGAAAAATTATTCGAGTGTCCTTGTCCTCCTCTTTGTGTCAATAACTGTCCCATCACTTCAGTCCTCGGTTCTGTCTTTTGCTCTTGTTTGTGCCACAAAGCGACTGGAAATTGACATGGATTGAGATATTAAAGTGATACACACATCACACAAAATACCATAAAGCACACCTTCCTATGTCACTGGAAACTGTACCTTCAAATGGGCCGTTGAAAGACATAAAATAAACAGCAAAAGCTGACGTCTTTCCCATGCGGTCCATCAATAATTAATCTTGAGAATCGCAGAAGCTGCCCTCGGACGGGAGCGAAACTTTCTGCATAGGACACTTGCAAGCTACATGAGACGATGAGTGATGGGGACTTTCGCAAACACTATTGCATGAAGTTGTGAGCCGTCGAGCTCGTGTAAAATGATAACAAGTTTCTGAGGAGTTCACTTGAAGAAGCTCCTTATCTTGGGAATAGGAGTGATTTGTTCAGAGAGATCCGACGTCAGCAGCAGCTAATTTGAGGGTTGCAGCGAAAAGTCTCGAGTGGAAAATTAGTACTTGAGACGATAATGAAAGAGACTTAGTTTTTCTGCTGGTGCATATTTGGCAGAAAGTGATAAGAAGACTTTGAAAGTTCTTGCGAAAATCGAGATTTAATTGGATGCGGTTTTGCTTAATTTCATATCCATCAAATTGAGTCAAAGGACACTATAATCATCTTGGATCATCTCCTGTCGTCAAGTGAGTTTCCTGCAAAACATTTAAATGGCCATCTTGGCGTCTGTTTCAGGAGAGAATATTCTTCACGCTACACAGCATTTCTTGAACAGGTTCTCCCACCTACTCTACTTGTGCATACACACAAACAGAATTTCCTCTGGAAAACCGAGAGAAAAGTCTGTGCATTACCAACGAGGGTGGGAAAAGTAAATAGCTTTATGGTTTTAAAAGACAACGTCTGTGTGATATTGTTCAACCCTTCTCTCCACGTTTCTTTCCACCCTCACTTGTCTGAGAATTTTCACAACGTGCCTCATAAGAGTTTTCAACAGCTTTTCACACGTGCAATCGACTCTGGGAATTGTCACGCTCTGGTTTAGTGCGCGCATCGGGACAAAGGCGAAATAATGAATGCAATTCATGTGATATGAAATGTTATGGGACATTCTCCAGCCGCGTTTTTGCTCTCGCTATATGTAGAGAAAAATCATGTTCAGCAAAAAAGTGTTCATTCTAATTGTCTCTGAAGGAATTGTGTGAAAAACCATTCATTTCTCGGGTCGAGAGGCAAAATGGGGTGAATGAGCGGAGATATTGCGAGAGGACTTTTCAGGGGTCACTTATAAAGCAATTAGCCTGCAATTGAGCTCAACTGACTCACTTTCTCAGCTTTGAAGTGGGTTTTCAATGAGGGCGTGTGCATTGATATACTGGGAAATTCAGAGGAACGAGAGCTCTTTAGAAAAGTCAATTAGAAGTGACATATTTTAATGATATTTTCTGGGCTGACGATATGAAATAATAGCATGCAACTTTCCGATGTAAATGCCCACAAACATAACACGGCAATTATCTGTGATTTTAATTGCATCACTGCGAAATGGCTTAACGACTTAAGTGTTGTAAATAGAAAAAAAATGTTGGTTCAGTCGATTCGCAGATTTACTCTCTGTCAATGGCTGGAAATTTGATAATGTCTTCAAGAATATATTAGAGATGAATCGTAAAAATTCTATGAATTTGATATAAATTCAATTATACGATAAGCAGTAATAATTTTAGGACAACAAGCAGACTTTTCCCTCCCGCTTCCTTTTCACCTCTATAATTCACTCGTCACATTCAATTGTAGCTCAAAAGCACCCATTTCGCCGTAACAGACGGCAATTCCACTTAAAATATCGTGTGTGAGTGGCTGAGAAACTGTTGGGGTGGTGATGTCACGTGCTGTTCCTCCAATTGTGCCTTCCACCTGATAAAATCGTTAAAGTTTCCAATCGAGGTGCTGTGGAAATGGCTTTCAATAATATTTGAAGACAATTATAATTCAATCACACACATTACGGCACACAAACCCTTACAAATGTCTAAATGAGCTTAATTGAATAAATAACGTGCTTCCCGCATTTGAGATTGTGTCGCACTCTGAGGGCTTTCACCGTATGTAATTCAATCGATGTTGAGCCGCGACAAAGGCAGGTAATTACGCTGAATTTCTCTTGTAAATAAATATTGTTATGGCTTCCCACTTGGCTTCTCTCACCATGAAATCAGGACTGGGTGAGAGATGGCAGGCAAGTGACTTTATACGGCCCTCAGTATCAATTTGCTTTAATCAGAAATTCAACAATTCCGGCGGAGCTGCAAATCAAGAAATCCTTCTGGAGCACGAGTCTCGCAGCTGAACAAACACGCCGTGCTGCTAGGCACAAATGCCTCACGGTGACGCCCCACGGCAATTTTCCAACACACATGCTGTTAATATTGCACAAATGGAATTTACTGTGCCAGGAAATTCATCGTGCTTGAAAATGAAAATTGTTTGATGCACTTAATTGCATTAATTTGTCGCATTCGATGAATATTTTCACCCAGTGCCAGGACTAGAAAATCTGCATAATTGCGAAATGGTAAATATTCCATTTCCATCTCACATGATATGATTGACTTTAACCCAAAAAAGTACCATAAATGGAGTATTCTCCTGAATCTCTCTTGACATTCCTTAAATTTTGCATCAATTCAACTCATGATGAGAGACAAAAAAAATTCTTCATAGGCATCTCTTCAGAATTTCACTCTAAAGCTCGTTGGAGGCGTTTGTGTTGAGTGAAAAAGTCCGTCCCTTAGACCAAAAATTGTATGCAAATGCTCAAGTGATGGCAGAGGAATAAATAAACGCAAGAAAGAGGAATTTCTAAATTGAATAACGAACGGAGGAGGGATGTTTTATTATGAAAATTGCGATCCTCATTGGAATGCTGCGAATTGAAATTTTCCACCACATGTGTGGCTTCAATTTTCTCTTCATACTCTTTAGCTTCTGTCTCCCGAATTCGCTGGGCTTTCTGCAGAACACTTTCGTCATATGGATGTGAATATGAAACATTTTCATTGTGAATTGATATGGTGAAATCAATTTCGTGAAATGTTTCCACATAAATCTACATGTTTTTGCAGTGGTGGCAAAATTAAATGCAAGTTGCAGAAAAGTGAAGCTTTTTTGTGCCTCTAAGCACTCCAAGGCAAAGAAATCCCGGGAAAAGTCACGTCGATTGGATACGTGCTCTTTCTTCACATACTCAGCAAGGTTTTCCCCTCCAGTTTGCCACTCAATGGTAATCGTATTTTAATCACGACGTCACTCTTTCGCCATACATCCTCAAGCCATCACACTGAAATGCAATTCTGCATATTGAATCAATATTTGAAGTGCTCATAGGATTTTACATGTGCTCTCAATGCGCCTCTCTGCCAATTCAAAGAGCCGTCCGTGAGCGAATGTTTATGATTTTATATTGCATTTCCCGAGCTTCCGTCAAATCCATGGAATTGCGGGGAATTTCATAAAATTTCCCATCCATAAAATCACTTTTTAGCTGAATTTTTTTCTAAAATGCCATGTTTCTTTCAATTCCAGCTAAAGCTTAACCACTCCCAAGCTTTAATCTGTGTTTATTCAGATTCATTTTCCGACGTACAGCTCAAATTGCTCAATGGTTTTTCGTAACAAATTTTTTACTCGCGTCCGAATGAGTTGAGATTGTGATATCTGTGAGAATATTTAATCCCATTGCCGGTCCAAAAGGTCAGCAAAGTTTCTGTCTTGTCAGTTGTTTAGCAACCAGCAAAAAGATGATGTCACTCTGTTTGTGTGTTCTTGTGGTTTTTATTGGACAATGCTTTGGCTTTTCCAGTTCTTCTGGGAATTTTTCACCGCAATTTGATGTTTATTCACTACAAAATAAGACCATCTTTATCAGTAAGATGAAAGTGAGTAAAAAGGGAATTATACTTTAATGTACTTAATTCATACTTTGGCTGTATTTCTTCGTTTAGCTCGATTGGTTTGATGCCAAAAGCAAGTGCAAGGACTTCGGATATAACATCTTGGCTATAAAATCCAAAGACGAAAATGCAGCCATTCAAAATATTCTTAAGAATCACAGCGAAGACTTTGCAATTGGCGGATTTGGCTTTGAGGTGGACGGAATTTGGCGATGGGATGGCGATAGAGAACCCTTAACATACGTGAATTGGATTAGTGGAGAACCTGTTGCAAACTCTCTGAAATACTGTGCCTACATAAGGTCGAACGATGGCTTGTGGAAAACTTCAGATTGTGACAATGAAACTCTTTTCATATGCCAACAAATTTCCAGTGAACAATGAGAGACTTCGGGCTATTTAGAGTGTCGTGTGAATTTGCTAAAATCCATTCTGAACTCGATGTGTAGCGATTCGACAGGATATAATTAGTGATAAATGGCTCTTGTCAGCGCAAAAGGACACTATTATAATTAACCCAATGCAATATTCGATTTGAAATATCTGGAGGCATATCTCCAGGATAATATGCAGTTGAGAATGACATTTTGGTCATCAAAACTCACGCCAAACGATGTGACGAGCATTTCCAATGAAATATTTAATGTGGGAAATTCATGTGCGGAATGGCAGATAGAAAATATCATGACAATTTCTAGGTTGAGGCGGTAATTTCATACCCATAGCATGGTCCACATCCATTGTCGCTTGTTCGTCACAACAAATCATAAAGAGCGCGCACTCCTAAATTTGCATAAATTGCTCCCTATTCACAATTGATTTGGGTGCTTTTGAAATTCACAATGTGAGAATTTCATGTCTCTCAACACCTCAATCAATTGTATTTCCATTCTCACACCCGACATCAATTCTCAAACATTATAATTTTCGCCCAACAATGTTCCGAAATTAAATCACTTTCCGCACATGCCATTCAAAGGGAGGGAATATTCACATACGGAGGGTTTGTCATTGAGTGAAATCACTGTCAATGGATCGTTATTCAGAAGTCCTTCGTCGCGAATGACCAGCGATAGAGTGAGCTTTGAATGCTCATATTGCGCGGAATGACTGCAGAAGAATTCAATTATGGTGTAAATATTGGTGCAAAAGCTTCTTTATGTGAGGGATAAAATTGTGCAGATGAACCCTTTTATGGCTTCACCACCACTCAATGTATAATAAATAGAACTAAAATGTTTCGTATAAATTGCCATATTTTATGGCACAATATTATTGCAATATGGAATCGCACACGGAAAATGAATTGGCACTCGAGTGAAAAAGTTCACTTTCGTGGTATTTGCGCAGATGGAGTGGAAAAATCCCAAGTGCTCAGAAAATTTTCTGTATACTCTTCCATTTACCACGAATTCTATTTCGATAAATTTTGAGTCATGAAGTTATAATATGGCAAATTCTGCTTCTCTCGTGCTTTTCTGCATGGGTCAGACGTGCCGAAAAATTAATATCTACATATGTATCCAAACTGAGTTCTGCGCGAGCTCGAATTAATCTCGCGTCGAGAAGCAAACAATGCCGCCGAAAAATGCAGTGTAAGTGCTATCGTGTTAATAAATCAGAAATTTCGCACGTGAGACTCACTTTGGCGAGAAGAGCTCTAAATTACCTGGAAAATAATAAGAGCTTTCTGCTCGTTTCGCCACAAAACAATCACACAATGGGGTGTACAAAGTTGCACGGAATAAAGCCGCGCGGCAGTGCAGTGAATAAAATTGAATATTGGAAAAGTATTGGATATGGTGAGAAAGAAGTGTGATTCACGCCCCGCGAAAGTGTACACGGCGCCTCTCCTTGTGATATATCAGCGCCAGCGAGAGTATTTAAAGTTTTAAGTGAGAAATAGCTCATAAAACATTTATACGTATCCACTGAGCCATATTGTTCCATTATACACTGCTGAATCCACAATTTTGTGCCACACCATCTCGCCCATTTGTGAATCTCTATGTCTTCAAAATACACTTTTGTGTAGATTTTTTATGAGTATGTTGTTCTCTCATAATTTACAAGCCATGATACTCGCCTCCTGGAGCATTCCTTCCGACTCTCCTCGCACAGTCTCTCTTAACGCTAAAAGGTCGGCTATTTTGCACTCTGGATAATAATTCAGTTGCGAGGTTGGCTTGTATACCAGGAAAAATTCTCCCCCTTAGAAGCCAAGAGGGAAGTCCACAATGTAGTTACCGGCTGCAAAATATCAAATTTAATCCTCAACAAAGTCATATAAATGGGGAAATTCTTATGTGTTTGCATGGTTGTAGCAATATATCTTCCAACTTCATTCCATACTTTCTTCCATATTTTCCCGCACACACACACATTTTCCCACCCACTGGCTTTTCCCGCACACCGCACTTCTTTCTGTCACACTGGAGAGTTGCAGTAAAAGCTCATATTGCGTTTCAGTTGGAGAACAAGGATTGCCACTGTGGTGTGGGAAATCATGTTACAGAAACTGGATATAGTTCTGCGGTAAGAACTTGTTGTATTAACACTCAGATCATTTTAAACTGACTAGGAATCGCTAATTCAGCTTTAATATCTCGTCTTTTGCTACTGATTTATGAAAGAGTATTAGAAAGCATTGCGTTTGTGCGACACTCTTTCAATTTTTCAACTTTCTTAACTTCTGCAATGCATACAAAATACAATGAATATTAAATACTTATTCTCACCATTTTCTCACCCGTGCAACCGCAGAAGAGAGTGTTTCTTTTCATTCTAATAATTCTGCATGTAACTTTGATCTATTTGTCATTTTGTAGAGCTTTAAACAAGGAGCTTTCCACTCTAGTTTCACACACTTCTTCTGTGTTCTCAAAAGCACGAGAACAAGTAGAGCTATAATGTAAAGCTTTAAAAGCATCTCGCAATATGCTCGTGAGAAGTCCACCAAGAGTTCTTCGGGAAGCAGGCACGGCCAGGGAAAGAGCTTTTTTCTGTTTCCTCTTCCACACATAATCTCTTCCGCGCTCCAGCATGTGTGTTCTCTCGGCGGAACTCCCGGGGGAATATAACGTAAGAATGAAGATTGACTGCAGTGCCATTTTGCCAGTGGCATGCATTTTGCAGCCATGCAGGAGCTCAAGTGTCTGGCTGTGAATATTGTCACCCATGCCAAAAAGCTCAAATATGACACCACACGGTCACATGGCGAGATGGCCGCATTAGCATTTTTCATAAGCCACTGGCGTCGCCATGAATTAAACGCTTTATAGGAGACCATTTCACAATGTTTAAGACTTTAGAATCCCCTGTTAAAATCCCATTTGGACAGATGCGCGACTCATGGCCTCGTATTCCACTTCTTTTCTTCTCAAACATGTTGAATTTCTTGAATTAGCATAATGACTCATTGCATTTCAGTGATTTCTTTTAAGTTTTGAAAGACCTCAGCTAATTTGAATTCAAATACTCTCTCTGATTTTCTGTCCTAAGAGAATCCAAACCCGCGACGCTCGGAACGTTGAAATTCTTCTGACCTCGCATATAAAATTCCCTGAGAGTCTCGGTCAACCTCTGGCCGTGGAGATAACGTTGCCTTGTTTGATGGTTGTTTTGATGGTTTGCCATCTCGGTTGGGAGACAGAGTGGCCAACTGAAAGCCGAGCACAGAGTCTCTTTGTGTGGCATTTTTAGCGAAAAAGTCTGGACAAATCTGCTAATGTTTTTCCCAAATGGTGCATTTTGTAATTTTATTTACTAACAACTTGAGTGGGTCATTTTCTGCAGCCAGAGCCACCCTGTCATGGTTCTCAACTTTTCCACTGGAAAATGTCTGAAAGTAATGCCGAGATTGTGTGCTGAGGGTGGAAAAAAGGGCCACGGGCGGTAAGTGGAGAAGGTTTGCTCCTTTTAATGGAATTACCACACACACATACACAAGTATTGGTTGTTTGGAGCCCTTGTGTGGAGCCTTTCTTCATTCACCCCTTTTCGCTCCGCACGTGAGTGCCAGAGGGAGCAGTAATACAGCCACCCCTGGCATTAAATGAGGGTGAACGTTTTCAGTGTTTATCGAAGAATTGATTATTGCATTGGTTTCACCCATCCAGCCCCAGTATTGCTTTTCCGCCTCTTTCATTTTATGTGGAACAGGAAGTGCTTTATAGATTTCATGAATTATGACCATGAAAGCCATGAAAGCTTTCAAAGGGATTGTTCTACCTCGGAAGGCATTTTTTCCCACCCATCAAACAAAACACTATGCAAAAGGGATGGCAAACCTCATCATTATTTGTGTAGTGCGCCCAGAAGCTTTTGAATTAGTTGAGAGGAAATTTTCCAATTTAATTAACTTGTTTTTGCGCTAAATATACCAAAAAAAAACTTACAGAGCTTTTCAATTTGGCCAGCAACCATGTTTATTCACCATTGAACAAATTTACGGCTATCAATATGGCACCAAAATGGTATTAGCGGAATTAAAATGGACCATGATAATGGACTGCGGTGAATAAGAGAGACTTTTAAATGAATCGTCCATGGGAAAATTTATTGGACATTGAGCTATTTTGGAATATGTTGATTGAAAATTGTGAAAAAGGGTTGATTCTCGTTAATGGTACAAAAGCTCTCATAACGCGGAAAACTCTAATGAACCGTATTCTCTCACGCAGTGTACTGAAAGAGAATTAACAGAAAAGTTAAAGCGCGTTTTAAAATTATCCCTATAGCTCACATTCACTACACGAACCAGAACACGAACTGATCACTAAAATTGCACCGAATCAATAATTCCACAGGCTAATTGTGACATACATATTATGTTTTGTCATTAAAAATTTAGAATATTCATTATACAAGTCCTGTCTGCGAATGGGATTAATTGAAATTCTTGCAGGAAATGAATTTGATATCGGAAACATGAAATTGCATGTAAAGCACTTTGTCTAATTGCCCTCCAAGTGGTTTATGATTGAAACCGGCATTGTTGCAGAGTTTAATAACTTATATTGAAATCAATACAGAGTATGTTGAGATATGACGATGTATACTTGTATCCCTGGGATCGCATTTCTTTGCCCACCTCCACGCTAAAAGCATCATAATGTGCAGCACGCGAACTTCCTCAGCGCATCCAACACACGGAGTGAAGGATGTGCCAAATGGGGTGCATCCAAGTGAGGGATGTTGAATTTCCCGAGTGAGGAAGTGGCAATTATGACTCTGTGAATGGCTCACCAATTAATTAATAACGAGAAAATTATATTTGGGGCGAAGGAAAACAAATTTATGGCACAACGCCTAGATTTTTAAAAAGTCAAACACTCTCGCAAATGTAAATAAATTAAATTGCACAGAATCGAAGAAGTGTGGTGAGAATTTAATTTCACAGAAAATTCCACAGCCCAGAGACGCAAAATGACAAGGGAGGAAAAGTGCTGATGGTGGAGTGGGTGAATGATGTCAGAGGTGAAATAGAGTGAGTCGACCAATGAATAAAATACCCCCAACAAGAACACAAAGTTGTGTTTTTGTCGTCTCCTGAATTGCCAAATGACGATTTTGTGTACAAAATGTTTCCCATTTTACCTTTTGCCTCATTTTCCCATTCTCTCACTCTTTTTTCTCTCCTCACAATAGACACAAAAGCCCATGGATTTTCCCTTCATCCCCAAGTCTCATCCCTTGGGAGTTTCCACCAGAGAGAAAATTGCTTTCCAAGGTGTAACATGAAATACACCTATAGTTTCAATTTAAATCATTTGCTAAATTTGTGCGAACTCTATTGGAAGAATTCATGGTATTTTAGCGGCTGTGTAATTTACTGAGTATAAAAATGGAATGAATTTATTGAGTAAATTCCTTGTTATCTCTTTTCGAATAAAAATGTTTCTAAAGAATTCAGCCACAGAGTACTATAAATTGAATAATATGAGAGTTTGAAAAATGCACTGAAATTCAGTTACAAAGAGTGTTTCTGCAACAATAGACCTCAAAACTTTCACACTTTTAAGCATTTCGTTACTCTGCCCAGTTGAAATTTCTCTCTATAGTAAAGTTTTCTACAATTACAAGAACGATGAAGACTTGCACATATACGAGAAACGAAGGAAATATTTTCAAATTAATCTCACATAATACACAGAGAGAAATTTTGGGTTAAATCAAAAGAAATGAGTGTAACTTCAGAGTGAGTAAAACTTCTTAATTTAACCACGAATATTCTTAATTCTACCACCATATTTCTCAAAATTACCCATAGAAACTGTGAAAAGATTTCTTTTAGAAGTAAACTTCGAATTTTCTTACTGCAACCCACTTCTTTTCTCAAGTTATACGAATTTCTTCGTAATTTTTCCTTTTGAGAACAAAAATGCTTGAAAATAGTCAAAAAGAGTTATTTTTAATCGAGGTTAATATTGGAAAGTGATTCTGATTCCCAAATTTCTTTCTGTATTTCATCATTTCATAATGAATCATACTGAATTACACTGCTATCCACACTTAATGATAAAGCACATTGAAGTCACATCGTCTGCATGGTCTGTATGTGTAGCAAAACTGTGTATCCTGTTCATGCTTATCATTGTTTTTTTTTCCGAAGCGTTTATAAAGAAAAATGCATGTAAATGAGACTTTTATTTAATTATAAGAACTATGATAATCAAGCATTCGCTCGCGCAAAAATTATGAGCAAGATATTTATCCAGTCCAGTGATTTCTCAAATTCAATCATGGCTGGTCGCATATTGTGTCTTACGTTTACTTTATTTTGTGTCTTTACGCAAACTTGGACTTTAAGTTTCGATCTACACTACAGAGATGGAAAATATTTGTACATTGGACATAATAAGGTGTGTTATCTCTAGATTAAGTGAATGTAATAATTCACATTGCAATTTTGATGTAGGTGTCATGGTTGGAGGCTGTTGAGGAGTGTAAGAAATTGAATATGACTTTAGTAACAATTCGATCTGAAGAGGAAAATAGCGCTGTTCTAACTCTACTCAAGGAGAATCGAGTAACTTTACCTTGGATTGGTGGATATAACTATCAGGAAAATGGAGAATTTCGATGGATTGCAACTGGAGAATTGTTTTCATATACGAAATGGCATAACGACATGTCAAATACGAATGACTCGAATAGGAATTGTGTGTATATGGAACGTGAAGGAACTTGGAACAATTTCAATTGTATGGCCATATCAATATACATGTGTGAACTTGTTGTTTCTTAATAAATGTTACAACAAACAGTAACGAAATTAGGCTTGAAATTGGGTGTTTGTAAAACATTTTCTCAAAAGTTTTCATCCTATTTCTTTCAACCCTCATCAATCATGCTTTTTGGGAGTGTAAATCTAAGCAGAACTGAATAAAATTTTCGTGTTTGCCAGTGCCAAAAGTGTTCATATTGAATCAATGCCACGGTAGGTTGAAATGCAAATTCACTTTTGCACTCAATTTCCGGACAGCATTAGATCAAAAGTTTCACTTGCAATACTTCCAAATGCCATTCCTCCACTTCACGCCTTTTTCGTGCCGCCACATTTTGATGGTTTACCGTGTTTAACGCCAAGCACGAGATTCTTGTTGTGAAAATATTTTGTTGTTGACTTAAATGTTGCTTGCAATTCTGAATTCCGATGAGTAACTCTGCATAGAATAGATACTAACAATTAAAGCATGAGAGATATTTGCAGGTTATGACTTGAAGCTGCGGGGAGTTGTCTTCAGACAATGGTAAATATTGTCTTGAGACATGAACTCGCACTCTAAACTGCACATTGTGCACACATGGAGTGGGCGCGAAACCCACCTGAAAGCTCGCGTTTACATTTTCAATACAATCAACATCAAATATTTCTACCCGGCGAGAGGCGAAGGGTGACTGAAATAAAGGATAAGGGGTGGTGTGGCGTCAGTTATTGAGTTTTATCAACTTTGACGTGCATTAGTCGCTGTAATGGTTGTTTATCACGAGATCAATTTCCATCAGGCATCCGCTGTATATTTTTATAAAAATACATCCATTGTGGGGCTGGAGAAGCCAGGCCAAACATGCAATTGCAGCAAAGTGAATTTTCAGTCAAGTTGCCTCTCAAACCCCTCGTGGCAATTTATTATGTATCAACAGCAGAAAGCGGACGGATGTTCCATGTGCGCCTATGTCATATGTGTGTGTATACAATGTCTAAATGTGTTTTCTGTGAGAACAAATATGCAGCAGAGATTGTATTGATTGCATTCTCCCGAGCTATGGAGACATCAGAGCAAAAATTGAGGGGTGAAAACAACAACTTTTCCTCATTGAATGCACACGGCAAATTGCATTACATGGGCAACTTTTTCAATAATAAAAAATTTACAAAGCAATTTTCCACTGTCGCTATACTTGATTTCTCTGATAGAAGATAGCATGTAATCCCGAGCAATATTGGGGAATTTAATTGACAACGAAATTGTGAAAATTGAATTCATAGGGCGAAAGTTTGCTTATATAGTTATGCGGAAAGCTCCTCGAAAAGTTTGCCAATAACCTGATTAAATGAGGATTTGCCTAGAATAGCTGTGAAAGCTTACACATTTAAGTATAGATGTGACTAACGACAAGAGCTTCCGATCTCCATGGTAATAAATTCTTTGTGCATACCACATGAGGCTATTATAAGAGCTTTTCTGCACCTCCATTAATGAATTTTGCAGCCCGCCAAACTCCCAAAGCTCAACATGAGAGCTTTCAACAATGTGCTCACCTCCAGAGCGTAATCATTACAATAGAAAGGCAGTCTTCCTTTGAATAAAACCTCACCCCTTCTAAGCGTCTATTAATTGAGTTGCGAGTTTATTAAACTCGCAACAATTGCCAAGTGATTTGTGAAACCTCCATCGCGAATACCGTGACTTCTTTCGGCATTGTGGCATGAGTGGTGATTTTGCTGTTCAAAATATCATCATCGCAGTCTTGTTGAGAATTCCACGCCCAATTCACACACATTGGAAGCAATTCCCAATGTATAATTTAATATTTTTCCTCACTCCCGCGTGTGGTTTTTTCTTCCACTCACTTCGCTATGGAGAGTGAGATTTCTCAATTGAATTTCATTTACATTGCAAATTTCGCAGTCTGAAAAGTATCGCCCCAAAGGTTAGGGCTGACGAAGTGACTCGGGAGATTTTGTCCGGATGAATAGGGCTAGAATTGCGTCCTGCAGAAACATGAAAATTCGCGCAATTCGCTCCTCTACATGGGGCCTCGACGAATGAAAAGGATGATTGGTGGTAGAAAACACGCAAATAATGAGATTTTCCACAGACCACGCTTTTCAGGGAGCCCACAATTTAGTACCAGGGTTTGAGTTTATTTCCTCAGTGACTCAGCACGATCTTCCAATGACGGTTATTATTTTGGCAACTCATTGTTTCACCATCAAGCAGCATTTTGGCCCAGTTTAATTCCACTGTGTGCCACTCAAAGTGTCCCAAGGATTTGCTACGTCAAATTACACCAATAAGTATGCGTAGCACTATGTTTTCGGAACAGCCTGTAACCACTTGAAACATTTGTGCTCCTCGCGATTTTCCTTTGGCACACACTTTCTGGATTTTCATGCTCCTTGCCAGACTAAAAAGTGGCTTCCAAAACTGACCGTTTTCCTTCACACAAACCCAAGTTTGGAGAGAAGCAATTGAGTTTTGGAAAGGAAAGTTTACAGTGTGAAAAGGCATGGGTGAAAACATCCAATGGTTGTTTGACGGAGCGAAAAGAAATCAATTGAACACCAATTGTTTGCAATCAATCCACGTTAAAAGTTTAATTGGAAGCTTATGTCTGGTAAATCAATGGTGAGCAGCGTGGGATTTAATTGCCTTCTGGCTAGGATGGAAAGACCACATATGGAGGTCAGAGAGTAAGGAAGGAAGTTTGTCGAGCGTCTGTTTGAAAAAGTAACATTGATTTTTCCAGAGCGCTCTCCATTTCATATTCAGCCAACCATGACGTTGACATATTGAATTTCCGTTTTAATTTACGAATATTTCATCGACAACTCCACCATGATCACTAAAATCGTCGAATGGATGGAATATTTCATATGTTAACCAAATTTCACATCCACAAATTGCACTTGTGCATCCAAAAAATACAAGCTTCGTGATTATTTGGAATGATTCTGATTAAAATAACTCCCGAAAATTCATCTTGTTTTTTGACATTCGCGTTTGGAGTAATTAAAATGGAATGGCAAAATGAATTGACGGTGAATTTAATTTAGGATAATGTCGGCTTTTGCGTCATTAGAGCTTCAATGACGACAGATTTACATATACCAGTTTGCTGTTAATGCCTGCGAATTGCACTTTGGAATTTTACTCAATGCAAATGTAATATCGCGACTCTATTCACTTTTTTTTCAGCCACCCAAATCACATTGAATATTTATTATGAATTCACGGCTAAAGCACCTGTTTGACAAACTTTTTTCATAGGACATTTGCTCTGCAGAAGTTTCATGCGATAAGAGTGTCAGTTTTTATTGAAAAATTACACTCATTGCACCAAATAAGAGAGCAAAAAAGCACTTCTCTACAGAAAGTTTCACGAGACGCGGCAGTCTTGAGCGTTGCAAAATGTCTTGAAATCCCTAGGAAGGATCATCTGGAAATGGTGTGTATAAAAATTCCTCGAAACTGCCAGACAGACAGATGAGAAATCAAGAGTTGTTAGTTCCATTCAAATACAACTTTTCCCACTTTCCGCCCACTTCCACGGAACTCCATCATTGTCCATATAGGGGTGGCTTGAAGATGGATAGAAAAATTATGACAGGAAACAATGCATTCTCGTCACAACGAACCACACGGAAGACGGCGACGGAGGGTGTGTATATGGAACATTTATCATCCTCTTTTTCTCTCTCCAAGAAAAGTATACACCGAAAGCACTCCGCCACTTCTTCCCACACCGGGACATCCCGCGGCGCCCGAGACTGTCTGCAGAAATTTATATACAAAGCACACACAAATATGACTCAATTTTTCTCCAAATGCCACCATTCTGTCATCTCGCGCGAATTCCTCCTCAGTAACACGGAATGCAATCAATTTCACCAAGGATATGGTTAAAATTCCTCCACGGCAGATAAATTTACCACCAAGAACGATCCTTAGTGCCGCGCTCTTTTTTTTCATACTTCTTCCGAGTGACAAACACCCGGAAGAGGGAAAAGAAACACCAGCAAGATGCTAGAATGTCAGAGAGGATTTTACACAGAGACGTGAATTTGTGGTGGTAAACATGAAGAATGTGCATTATGAGTTGCGGCTTAACCCATGCGCTTTCAAATATATTTCAATCCTCGAAGACAATACAAAGTTCTCTAAAGCGTTATTTTTGGAAATTTTTATACAATGTGAGAGATTAGTTCACATATTTGCTTGCCAAAAACAAGTGCAGAATTTACAAGATACTTAGCATTTGATATTTCATTTCCATTTAAGCTCTATTGAAGCTTTGTGATATTGTGCAAGTCAGTGACTTCAGCAAAATGTTACCTAAAATTAGCAACATAAATTGTACGCTAGATGTCTTGAAAGGTGTTTATATCGCTCTACAATGATTCCAAGTATTGTGAAGATGCATTTTCATGGCACCGCAACCGCATCTAGACTCCCACCATGCAATTACCAAGATGAAATTGATTTCGTGTTGTACAAACTTACGTGAGTCCAGTTCATTTTCAAAGGAATCACTTAACCAATGACCTCTACTGCTAGAGTTCATTGGGGCCTGATTAATTGTGATGATAGGAGTACGATTGACTTTTTGGACAGCTAAAGGGGACCAATCATTAATGGCTTATTTCAATATGAGTCAATTACCTAATTGCCTGACCTTTGGCGTGAGTTGTCAGGACGAAATGAAGGGTTGTCGCGGGCACAAAAAGCTCCCTGTGAGCTTTTTGCTTAGGCGGCCCTACAAATGAGATTTATGAGACAGTCCAGGCGTCGAGGAAGTGTCGCCACCACTCGGTGACGCCTGCGGGAGACGGATGCAAGGCTGGAGAGTTGGGGTGACTTCCGGTGCTGGACATTTGAGTGATGGCGCCCCACACGGGGCCGTGCGTCGCGACAGTGGCCAAAGCCTTCGCGGAGCAATTAAATAGAATTCAGCAAATGTGACTGCGTTGCGTGCCGTGGGAAGAGGATCCGAATAAATTAAACGTGGACATGAATAAAT